CATACTTATTCAACCTGCATGCTAAGCAAATTTTTGCAGATTATATGAAGAAAAATGTGGCATCAGGATTGAAGGAAGACTCATTAACAACCTGCGATATGCAGATGATACAACATTGCTTGCTGGAAGTGAAGAGGGCTTAAAACATTTATTGATGAAGATCAAAGAGCACAGCCTTCGGTATGGATTGAATCTCAGTGTAAAGAAAACAAAAATCCTCGCCACTAGGCCAATAAACAGCATTCTTATCAATGGAGAAAAACTTGAAGTTGTCAAGGACTTCATTCTTCTTGGATCAACTATCAACACTCACGGAAGCAGCAGTCAAGAAATCAAACAACATATTGCATTAGGCAAGTCTGCCTCACAAGACCTTTTTAAAGTCTTGAAGAGCAAAGATGTCAGCTTGAGGACTAAGATGCGCCTGACCGAAGCCATGGTATTTTCAATAACCTCATATGCATGTGAAAGCTGGACAGTGAATAAGGAAGACTGTAGAAGAATTGATGCCTTTGAGTTACAGTGTTGGAGGAGAATATTGAAAGTGCCATGGGCTGCCAAAAGAACCAATAGATTTGTGTTGGAAGAAGTGCAGCCAGAGTGCTCTTTGGAGGCCAGGATGGCCAAACTTTGTCTCTCATACTTCGGACATATTGTCAGGAGAGACCAGTCACTGGAGAATGATATTCTGTTTGATAAGGTGGAGGATCAGAGAAAAAGAGGAAGACCCCCAACGAGATGCATTGGCCAAGTGGCAGCATCGATGGACACAAGCATGGCAACAGTAGTGAAGTTGGCCCAGGATCGGGCAGTGTTTCGTTCTGTTATGCATAAGGTCACTATGGGTCAGTACCGACTCGATGGCACCTAACAACAATGCAGCGCTATGGGTTAATGCATCAGACTGCAAAGCCGTTTGAACAGCAAGGCCGGTGGTGGTTGAAGCTCACCAGCTGCTCCTCGGAAACCCTATACAGGGTCACCATGGGTCAGAATCAACTCGTCGGCACTTAACAACAACAACATCCTAGATAGTTCATGTCAAAAGACAGTGGGGTCAAACAATATTTGTCCTGGTTTCGGTCCCTTTGGTATTTGGACCCTTCTCTTTTGTTCTTCTCCATGGATATGTTAAAGAAGGGACCTAGCCATCTTGTCACTGCTGGGTCCCAGGCTCCAGAACGGTGGCTGACCTAAGGAGGTACCTAACACATACCTGGGAATGTGATCCTGTACAACTGCAAGGCAACATCCCCAAACCCACATGAAACTCTTCAGTGACAGCTGGCATGGATGATTGTGTCTAGTGCTCCAGGCACCCTGCCCAGATGGCAGCAGAAATTCTAGTTCCGTCTACATCAGGGGGTGTCAGTGTTTGACTAGGTCACATGATCTACAGTAAGTACATCAGGAATTGAAAGCTCAGATCGTAGTGATAAGAACCTTGGAGACGTGAATGAAATAGAATTTACATAAATCTCACCCAACAATGCCAAGAAATTTGGAAGACAGCTACTTGGCCCGCCAAATGGAAGAGATCCACAAGTGGGGGCCTGAAAAAATTTGCGGAAAAAAGGAATGAAAAGATAATGGACTTTTCTGAAGCCCCCTCAGGACTGTGCCCACTCTAAAGAAAGGTGACCTTGCGGAATGCAGAAATTATTGAACACGATCACTAATATCGCACACAAGTAAAATTTTTTGCTAAAGATAACTGAAAAATAGTTACAGCAGTGCATCAGCAGGGAGCTGCCCGAAATTCAAGCTGCATTCAGAAGAGGATCTAGAATTAGGGATATCACTGCAGATAAAACTGAGGAAATGGTTTTAAACCTGTTTCAACATTGTTTCCGTCACACCTCAATCAACGCTGTTAAATTTTATTATGTGCAATTGTTCAGAAAGCTCCAGAGCTGGTTTCCTATCTACCAGTGACTGGCTGGCTGAAGGCTGGAGAATCTTGGCCCCGGCAGAGCCGCCAAGCTGTGACAACACACAGGAAAACATCCAGGGCAATTCGTGAAGTACAGACCAGGAGTCTGGAGGGCTGGGGCTGGAAAAGCCAACGTAGGTGTCTCAGCTGAGTGGCCATTGCTGGGACGTGGAAAAGGGCCAGCTCCCAGGGGGAAAGAGTCTAGTGGGAGGATGGGTGACTAGGGCTTTGCTTAGGGAGATGAGAAAGGACAGAGGAGGTCTCTGAGAAGAGAGAAAGATGAAGTTGCCAACTGCTACAGAGGGCTGGCGGCCTGGGCCTCAGCTCTGAGACTGACCCTGTTAGGTTTATCCTCTGATTCTGATTCTGGCTCTGTATCTTACTGCTTCCATCCTCACTTTCATCTGTGTTCCTTGGCTCTTGGTCTCTGAAGTTCCATGAGATCCAGGGCCCTCACTGCCACATGGTCAGGCCCCTCCTTTTCCTGACTTAGTCACACACACACACAGAGTCAGAAAAGGAAGCTGGATGCTGTGTCTCACTGCATGAAGCCACAAGATCTCTCTGGGAGGCTCTGGGAGAGTCTAGAATAACAAGATCCTCTCTGGGAAGGTCTAGATTTCCACGGTCTGACCTACTCTTAGAAGTCAGTGACCTGGCATTTGACAAGGAGGCCTCTGGTCTAGATATAGTCAATGTGAGCATCAGGGACCAAATCCAACTGGAAAGGGACAGGTCAGTTAGTTGGGTGTCCACCTCCTGGAGTTTGCAGAGGTCAGGCCCAGGCTGGACTGATGTCCATGTCCTACAAGATGCCCAGCCCAAGACTTTCCACATAACGTGAGCTTGCCATGCTGGGCTGACTTCTCCAGGTGTGTATGTGGGAAGTACCTACTCCAGGGAGGGAAGGGCAGGAACAGGCTATGTGCAGAGGTCATGTCATTCCATCATAGAATCAATTATGAGAGGTGAGCCAATTAGAAGGTAAATGTCAGAGTAGGCCCTGACAGAAAGATCTGGAAGGCTAGAAAGCGTATGCTTAGTCCCTACATCATGGCGCCCTGAGCACTCACAGGAACTGCATCCCAATGATGGACTCCATGGTTATGTGCCCTGAGTGTCCATGAACCCCTGGCTGGTCATGCACTGGGAGCCACCCCAAGGCCTAGCTAAAGAACGTCATTCTCATTAAGAAAGGCAGTCTGTGAGGCTCCCAGTGTTATTGTTGTTAGGTGCTGTGGAGTCAGTTCCAACTCAGTGACCTGCACAGAAGGAAGAAACACGGCCGAATCCTGCACCATGCTTACAATCATTGCTGCGCTTGAACCCACTGCTGCTGCCACGATGCCAATCCGTCTCGTTGGGGATTTCTCTCTTTTTCACGGATACTCCCCTTAACTAATCATGATGTCCTTCTCCAAGGACTGGTCCTGCCTGATAATATGTCTGAAGTATGAGAGGCAAAATCTGGCCACCCTGGCTTCTACAAAGCATTCTGCCTGTTACTTCTTCTAATACGGATGCTCACATGATCACCTTAAACACCTAAACTGATGCATAGCAACATTATAGGACAGATTAGAACTGATCTACCACATAATTTAGAGGCTGTAGTTCTTTCTGAGAGTCCTGGTGTGGTGCTGTGTGTTAATGCACTGGACTGTAATGTTGTTTTGAACCACAAGGCTGGTGGTTCAAGCTCACCAGTCTTTCCTCAGAAACCCTATTCAGGGTCACTATGAGTTGGAATCGATTTGATGGCACTTAACAACAACAACAACAATTCTTTATGGAAATGTGCAAAGACCTGGAGCTAGAAAACTGAAAGGGCAGAACCAGGCTACTCTTTCAGACCAGGCTCTATGGATGCCTTTCTGGAGCTGGCGTCTTCGTTCGTTCTTCTTCTCAGTTGCACTTGAATTGGTTTCAGCTCATGATGAACTTAGACCTAATGGAATAGAATGTTGCCCAGTCCTGCAGCATTTTCATGATCTTTGAAATATTTACACCCATTGTATGACCCTCATTCTTGCTTACCCTCTCTCTACTTTATTAAATTGACTCCATCTGCGGAAAGAGACAATGGAAAAGCTCCATATCATCAGCCAAAACAAGGCTGGGGCAAACTGTGGAACAGATCATCAGTTGCTCATATGCAAGTTCAGGCTGAAGCTGAAGCAAATTAAAACAAATCCATGAGCTACACCCTACATAATGAGCCTGCTCTTTTTGAGAGACAGGACCGCCCCATCTTCCTGACTGCTGGCTTTCTGTTCACAAAGCCTGATTGGATCTCTTCCCATCTCTGTGGTTGACTATAGTAAGAGGCGTCAAACCCTCATTTCATTTGGCAACATTTCTGGTGACCACAAAGGAGCCTCACGGACTTCCCAGGTACCTACACTCTTCCAGCCTGGAGATGGTGTCCTGCTCAAAATGTGGGAAAACGGACCTGACTCCCAGTTACAGGAGAAGTGGAATGGGCCTGGGAGATCCTGCTGACCATGCCTCCCCACTCCCCACTGCTCTCAACCTCATATGCCTCAAGACCTGGACTCACACATGAGTCAAGAAAAATCATGGACAACAATGGGCCGTGAATTCTTCCTTCAATCTCAAGCTGATTAAAGCTGCGGTGATCTTTTTTCTCCTGCCATGGGTTGGACCTCTTAGATCTTCTCCCCTATCATTGGGATGAAAATATTTAGGTATACCTGGGCAAGTATGCAATGAATGCATCTGATTTCTGTTTGAAGGGGGATTGTATGTTGAACAATGCTTTACCTCCTGTCTTATTAAAATTAGTATTAATATAACACAGCTCCAGCCTTCACCTACATCCCTGCTAACTCTCCTGGGCTGGGGTTGGGGAGGAGAGGACCTGTAGATTTGGAAGACTCACCACCTTCCTACCCCAGAGACAGGACCTGACTGATCGACCTCATCACTTGACTTCCTCATCAACCTACATCTGTTCAGTCGAGCTGAGCATGTGACCCTACCCCTTTTTGTAATGATTACTATGGTCCTGACCCAAAGTGTTAAAATCAGTAGACTTGCCGGTACCATGGTAAAGACCCTTAATGTCACCTCCCAGACAATCACTGCCCTAAGTGTAAGGGCTTCTTTATAGCAGATAATGAACATTAGTTGTTAGTTGTTTTTGTCACCTAATATAAAGTGGCTATTCATGTTAATAGTGAGGGTCGAAGTTTGTCATGAGAATTTTTGTATATTACTGTATTCAATCATTGATTTTGCAGAATTCTATCATGTGATCTCCAGCATCATTTCTATCACCGAGGCCATATTTTCCAACTAGTGATCCTTCCTCTTGCT